AAGAGTCAAAAGTCAACAACAGCTGTAATCGAGAATGGGTCAAGAAACATGAACAAAGATTTGGGAAATACGCAGGCGAGGGCCACAGGCGAGTGCAGGTCAAGCGAATTAACTGGAGGCGAGACGAATGGCGGCGAGATAAGTGCAGGCGAGAAAACAGGCGAGAAAAGCACAGGTAATATTAATGTTGACAAAACTGACCAAATCAAACTGAAACCCAAGATTACAGCAGATAACAAAGTAAATATTAAATTGAAATTGGTGAATTCTAATTTAGACGATGAATCAGTTGAGCCTAATGGCAACAAGACTGTCAAAACAGTCTCTGTAGACACACAGTTGGCTGAGTTGAAGAGCATGGTGGAAAAGCTATGTAACTCAAATATAACTTCAACAAAAGCACTGTATGAAGGTCTAACAGAGAATAGAAATCAAGTGAGACTGAATGCTGAGGCGAGAGCACAAGATAAAAAGGAAGTACTGGAGCTGTTGAGTGCCCTGGATAAAAAGCACAACGAGAAAATTGGAGAAGTAATGAGAACCTTCGATAATTATCGCAATACTGTCGAATCATCAATCAAGGTAACAAAAAACAAAGAGAAAAAAATAGATGGAGAGTGATGTCAAATGAGCATATAAATCTAGAAAGTCAAATTAATTCAATAGTCAATAAACAGATCAACGAAATTAATCAGACAAAGTCAAGTCAAGTAAACAGCCTAAATCCTTTGAGTCAATTAGCTGGCGAGGTAACCAATAAGTTACAAATTGAATTGTTTAACAAGGGAATGAGTTTCAAAAGAGATTACAAAATGGACAACAAACTGAAATATGAACATTTCTATGATTATTTCTCGTCAGAAATTAAAACAAATAAACTTTTACACATCATTGACGATAGCATTCTGGTTACTGTGGACGAGGAAACTCTTGCAGAACAGAAGCACAAAGTTAGAGAAATTCTGATCAATCACTTGGACAGAAGTTATCACCCTAAAATTGTCAAATTACAAGATACAAAAGAAATATTGAAGGAACTTAAAGAATTGAAAATGGCTGAGTTTAATGTAACTTCACACTCGGTGAGACAAGACCTTTTTAATATGAGATATAATCCTGCTAAAATGACAGCTAGCAAGTTTAACGATATGTTTGTGGAAAAAATAGCAACTTATGAAAATGCTCCCGACACCATTCCTCTAAGTGAAAGCGAAAAGAAAGATGCATTCTACAATGCAGTAATAAAAGCTTTTCCTAACATTAAAATCATTGAAAAAGTAACAAGGAAAGCTATAGGTGTGGGCTTGACTTTTGGCGAGTTGAAAATTGCGATATTAGAAGAAGAAGCTACTATGAAAAATGAGCTCTCAGATTCTGATATTAAAACTGCTAATTTTCCACAGCACAAGGGGCCAAGGTGTTTTGTGCGTCAGGCATATGGACACAAGGGACCAGACTGTCCCAATAAAGGGAAAGGATACTTGTGCTACAAGTGCAACCAGTTTGGGAATCACAAGGCGAGAGATTGCCCAAACAGAACTCACAATGACTATGCACCAAGTGGTTCAGGATACTCTAAGCAGACTCCAAGGTACAATTCCAATTCAAAGATTAATTATAGAAACAATTGTCGAGATCAATATAGAAGTAACGATAAAGGAACGAAAAGACCAATGAGAGGTGAAACATATGGTCCAAGTAAGAGAGGAAGATTCAATAAGAGTCGGTTTTCTTATAAAAGAAACGAGAACAAACACGGGTTTAAGTCATCTCATCAATCAAACAAGAAATCCAAATCCCACGAACCCAAAGAGAAAAATAACTGCACTCAAGGTAAGGAAAAAGAAAATAATGATCAATCAAGTGCTGAAATATTTTATGCAGATAGTCAACAAACAAATGAAATTAAGTTTCTGACAGACTTTCTGGCAGACTCAGGCGCGACCGAGCATTTAAAAAATTCTATAATTATATTTAAAACATTCAATGAATTAGATTGTGGAGTAATTAGGTGTGCTAATAAAAATGAGTCAGCGGACTTAAGAACGGTGGGAGCAGGAAAAATAGAAATTGAACTGGCGAGTGGTAAATTATTAGAAATTGACAAAGTTATTTTTGCAGAAGCTCTTAAAGCAAATCTGCTATCATTAAGAAAATTTGCCGAAATGGGATTAGCAATCTACTTAGATGACACGAAAATTGATAACTTTTCATCTCGGGGATTTACAGAAAACCTTACTGGATAATCGATTTAGAAATAGTAAAGTCAAACTCTATCAGTGAGAATTCTTTCAAGCAAATAAACAGGCGAGTAGTAGCAAATGTTGCTGATGTCACTGGGGGTGAGAATGAGGTGAAAAGATATCTTACCAGAAGTGTCACAGCAAATTTACAGAATGAAACAAGTGAGAAAACAGACGAGATTGATAAGAGTAATGAGGAAGGAAATAAAATTGAAGAAAAGGCAAAGGAAGAAAAGCATAATGATAAAGGGAGTAAAAACTTAATAAAGGAGAAAATAATTACTAAAGAAAAGATTCCCTATGAACAATCAAATTTTGATTACACCATTTGGGACAGGAAATTGCAAGATGTTGATGAATTACCATGGGATGATTCGGTAGAAGTTTTTCCAAAACTTTCAATTGATAAAGATAGCTATTTGAAGAATCAGAATGTCATGTTGTGGCATTGTAGATTTGGACATGCCTCAACGAGTTACCTCAAGGCATTACAAAAGAAATTCCCAGATAATAAAGAATTAAATGCAGTAAAATTTGATGATGAATTCATTAGAGATTGTGAGGTGTCCTTAACGTCTAAATTCAATAAATTATCATTCCCATCGGTGCGCAGGCGAGCAACAGCACCATTGCAAATAGTTCACTCAGATGTGATGGGGCCTATTACTCCAATTTCTCATCCTAAGGGATCCAGATTTATTTCAGTGTTCATCGATGACTTCTCAAGATTCACTATGGCTTATCCAATGAAGGCGAAAAGTGAAACAGGACGTTGTCTTGAGATGTTCATCAGAAGTGTGCGTAATTTACTGGGTTATGACGCGAAAGTGTGTTATCTTAGATCAGATCAGGGAACAGAGTATACAGGCGGGCATACAGTTGAAGTTCTTAAGAGTCTAGGAGCGGAATTACAGTTAGCTTCCCCTGATACACCTGAACACAATGGTGTCGCTGAGAGATTTAATCAAACTATCCAGAAAAAGGTGAGGTGTTATATGTTTGACTTGAGACTGCCAAAGGGCATGTGGGATCTGGGCTTAACTGCTGCAGTTTACGCTTACAATAGGACTCCACATAAATCAAACAATATGATAACTCCGTTAGAACGATTCGCACCTGATCACAGCTTTGATATTAATCAAATCAAAAGATTCGGTAGTTTAAGCTATGTAAAAATTGCTAGAAATGCTGGCCCAAAGTTTGGACCTCGAGGTGTAGGTATGGTCTTGGTTGGATATACTCCAACAGGGTATCAACTCTTAAAGCCAGAGCTAGGAAAATATTATGAAAGTGGACATGTTAAACTCAATGAAAAATTAGTGTATGGGGATAAATACAAGGGAAACGGTATCAAAGATTTCCCAGACTATGGAGAAAAGGAGAATAAAGATGAATTGTTTGTTGAGTTCGAAAAGAATCGAGGTGAGACCGAGGATTCTTCAAAACCGGAGGGAGAGATAAAACGCAAAAGAGGTAGACCAAGGAAAGAAGTTTCAGAACAAAACATTACCAAGAAAGTGAAAACAGTTGATATAAAAGATAAAATAATAAATCATAAGAGCTTTTCAGAGTTGGAAATTGATGAGAACGTGAAAGGAAATGTTTTCTTCACTAGTATTATCAATAATGTAGGCGAGATAGATTTAGCACAAAAGGAACATGAAGTGTATAATGCAGTCTTATCAAGCATAAATGAAGATCCCTCAAATTATCGAGAAGCTATAAATAGTAAAAATAAAGATTACTGGTTAAATGCGGTTGATGAAGAATTAAACTCGTTAGAAAGAAATCAAGTATGGAAAATTGTCAAAAGACCTCTAAGTATGATGAATGGAAAAAGATTAAATGTCATTGATTCAAAATGGGTTTTTAAGTGTAAAAATGAGGCAAATGGTAAAATAAGATTCAAAGCGAGACTAGTAATCAGAGGTTTCAAGGATAAGAACATTTATGAATTAAGGAAAACTTATGCTCCAGTAGCTCGTTTACCTTTAGTGAGAATAGTTATATCAATTATAAACAAATATAATCTAGAGGTGTGTCAGCTAGATGTTAAAACTGCTTTCCTCAATGGCGTAATAAATGAAGAAATTTACATGGAAATTCCAGAAGGAACTAATCATACCGACCAAGATAGGCAAGAAAATGTGTGCAAATTGGAGAAAGCACTTTATGGTCTTCGTATCAGTCCCAAACGGTGAAATGTAAAATTCACTGAAGTAGCTTTAAGTATGTGTCTGCAGAACTCGGATTTAGAACCTTGTTTATTCACTTGGCGAGATGAAGACAAGTTCTTGCTTCTGCTACTTTATGTAGGTGATAT